GGCTGTCCTAAAACTCACTCTGTAGACCAGACTGACCTCGAACTTATAGAGCTCCACCTGCCTCTGCCTCCCAAGTGCTGGGATTAAAGGCGTGTGCCACCACTGCCTGGCAACTTTTTGTTTTTAAATCTACTTTTATCATTTTTTATTTATGTATATGTGAAGGGATGAGTGTCCATGGAGACCAAGGGAGGGCATCTGATCCCCTGGAGCTGGAATTACAGGTAGTTGTCAGCTGTCTGGCATGGGTGCTGGGAACTGAACTCATATCCTCTGGAAGAGCAGCAAGGACTCTCAGCTGCCGAGCCTTCTCTCCAGCCCCGTTCTGGAGGCCTCTGTGAATGATGAAGCACTAATACTGTGATTTGAAATATGAGCCATCACTCAAGAAGTTAAATGACAGGACTTTTGGAGAGGTTTGTCCTAAGCAAAGAAACTAAACTCGCTTGTTTTCTCTCTACAGGGAAGTGAATTATTTCTTCATTCTATTCCACAGACTCTAAGACAGCTGATCCAGGCGACTCCAGGCCAATCATTTGACATTTCTTCCAACTGACATTTTTGAAATGATCGATTGCTTTTGTGATTTTTTTTTCTTCTGAGTTGAGACTCATTCTGTAGTCCAGACTATCTCAGAATTTGTCATTTAACCCAGATTGGCCTTTAACTCATAGTGATTCTCCTGCCTCAGCTTCTCAAGTTTATAGTATAGGCCTGAGCCACATCTAGCTAAAACTTTAACATGTTTTTTCTGCTTATTTGTTTGTTTGGTTGATTTTGAGGCAGTGTCTCAAGTAACCCAGACTGGTCCTGAATTTACTATGTAGCCTTGGCTCCCAAGTGCTGGGATTACAGGCACACACAACCACACTTAGCTTTTTCTTTTTCAATTCTTCCCTTTTTAAATCTTTTTTTAGGTGTATGAGTGCTTTTTTCTGCACATATGTCTAGTACATGCATGCCTGGTGCCCACACAGGTCAGAAGGCCGCATGGATCCCTGGAAATGGAGTTATAACCATTTGTGAGCCACCGTATGGATGCTGGGGACCAAACCTGAATCCTCTTTAGAGCAACAGATGTTCTTGACCTCTGAGCCATCTCTCTGGACCTTCAGCACTTTTTTGGTGGGGTATAAAGTCTGTCTACAATAAAAGTGATACCACTCCTTATGTTCCAAATAAGAATTTACCCCATGCCTGTGAAAGGCAGAAGTGCAGATGGTTACAGAAGCAGTATATTCAGGGTGTTGCAAGAGTGAAACCACCCTTGGGTGGAGAGATTCCAGAGGCAAGGGGAGGGAGCTGGTTCCCAGGAGCAGGTAGACAGACAGAGACATTTTGGAAGCCTCCGGCCTTGGGAAAATGACTGGACAGAAGTGCTAGCGGAGTCAGAAGGGGAAGAGGACTCTTAGAGATCGGGGCCAGCCCTTTCCGGGAGCATGAAAGGTCAGACAGATTTCAGAAGACAGCAGACTGGGAGACTTCACTGTGCCTTTCCCAGGAACATGGGACTCAGCTTACCATTACCAGCCCTGCTGAGCCCTCAGTGACAATATAGAGTGTTTGGGGTTTTGTTTGTTTGTTTGTTTGGTTGGTTGGTTGGTTTCTGGAAACAGGGTTTTTCTGTGTAGCCCTGGCTGTCCTGGAACTCCCTCTGTAGACCAGGTTGATCTTGAACTTAGAGATCCACCTTCCTCTGCCTGAGTGCTGGATGGGGATTAAAGGTGTGTGCCATTACCACCTGACACAATGAGGTAATTTTTTAAATGAGGGGTTGTCTTAGTTAGGTTCCTCTTGCTGTGAAGAAACACCAAGTTGGGAAAGAAAGGGTTTATCAGGTTTATACTTCAGCATTGCGGTTCATCACTGAAGGAAGTCAGGACAGGAACCCAGCAAGGCAGGCACCAGGAGGCAGGAGCTGATACAGAGGCCATGGAGGGGTGCTGCTTAGTGGCTTGCTTCCCACAGCTTGCTCAGCCTGCTTTCTTAGAGAACCCAGGACTCACCATGGGCTGGGCCCTCCCACATTGGTCACTAAATGAGAAAATGCCTTGCAGCTGGATCTTAAGGAGGCATTTCCTCAGCTGAGACTCCCTTTTCTGATGACTCTAGTTTGTGTCAAGTTGACACACAAAACCAGCCAGTACAGGGGTTTTCTTTTCTTTCTTCTTTTTGATACCAGGGATTGAATTTGAGGCTTTACATATGCCAAGCATGCACTCTACCACTGAGTTACACCCCATACCTAACACATTTATTTTTTTCTTTTGAGACAAAGTCTCACTAGGTAGTCCTGGCTGAACTTAACCTCACAGAGCTCTGTCTGCCTCTGCTTCCCTAGTGTTCTGATTAAAGACTTGCCCCACTAAACCTGGTAGAATTTCTTAAAATCATATTTGTTGTTTAATACACATGAGTGCACACATGCACTCCTGTGTGTGTGTGTGTGTGTGTGTGTGTGTCTGTGTGTGTAAGTCAGGGATAACTTACAGGAGCTGGTTCTCTCCTTCCTTCCACCGTGTGGGTCCCAGGGAAGGTGCTCAGATCATCACCAGGCTTGGTGGCAAGCACCTGTGCCCACTGAGCCATCTTGCCCGCCCCAGGTTTGAATCTTTTAAGAACTGTCTTACAGGTCTCCATTTACCTATTGTTTATTGCCAGGCCGTCTGAGTGGCTCACATTACCAAAGATCTGCCAGGAATGTATTTCGATGACCTTTCCTCATTTGCCTATGACAAACAAACACTTCCCTATTGCTCGATAGTTGTTATTTTTCAGTTTTCTTTTGCTAGTTTGGGAACTTGACAGTTTATTGACAAAAATATTAAAGGCTTTAAAATGCAGATGGCAAGCCCTCAGTTGCAGTTCAACCCAGACCTTGTTCTGCTTGACATTACCTTGGGTGACTGGCAGCTGGTTGGTCCTGGATTCAGGGGTGGGTGGGGCTGTGGTTGCTCAGAATGGTTTTCCATTGCATAGAGCAAGAGTGCTCATTAGAAATGCACTGCTGCTACTTCAAGAGTGGGTGATGCTTCAAGAGATGGTCCCCCCCACACACACACACACACACATTCACAGTTCCCCCAAGACCACGGGTGACTTCTTTTGTAAAAGCACATGTCACCGGTGAGACTGAGACTGTGTGGGACTGGCTCTAGGAAGCAGAATCAGGGGTCCCTGAGCTGTCTTCCACATCTGTGCTCTCTGCAGTCTCACTGACCTTGCTGAAGTCCCCATCGCTGTCTTCAGCGGCCAGCCCTTCTCCCAGCAGGCCTCTCTCTGAGCTCAGAAGTACATTGCCTTTGCTCTTGGCCTTGTTCTCCCTGGCCGCAAGCACCATGTGCATGGCCTTTTCCTTCAGCTCCAGGTACCACCTCCGGTGCCACCCAGAGCCCCAGGGTGGGCAGGTGGAAAGAGACAGGGTCTGAGTCACCAGACATGAGGTGGGAGGAGCCAGGCCCTCTGTGTGAGGCCCTGCCTCATTACATATGCATCCTTGCCATCTGCATAGGGCTCCACTTCACTGATCTGAAAGAGGAGGGTATTTGAATATCG